AGTAGTTTGAAGACTCGCCTTCGCCCGGAACTGGCAACTGTTGGGCTTAAGTTTGCCTTCAGTGTCCTTTGTTTCCAGTCCTGACTCCCTGAGATCCCTTGCACCATGGCTTCCGTGAAGAGCATGCTGGCCGCCGGACTCCTTGCTGCGCCTTGCGCAGACGCCTTCGTGGCCCCTGGAGTCTCCCAGGTCCAGGTCCAGGGAGCAACGCTTCGGGGCTCCGCGGGCGTGCAGTCTGAGTCCAGCTTCGGACCGAAGTCCGCTTTGGCTGCTGCGTCCGCAGGCGCGGTGGCGCTGAGCTTCATTGGAGCGCAGCGCCCTGTAGCTCGCAAGCAGAAGGTGGTCTGCAACTTCAGCAAGGAAAGCCAAATTGGCGCCATGGATCCGCTCGGCTACTTCGATCCTCTTGACCTCTGCAAGGACGAGGCGACCTTCAAGGACTTCCGGGCTAAGGAGATCAAGCACGGCCGATTGGCTATGATGGGAGCACTTGGAATGTTGACTCAGAGCCTGGTGCAGCTCCCTGGCTTTGAGGGCGTGCCAAAGGACGTGTCTGCTTGCACCGTCGGCGCTGGCCAGACTGGCTTCCTTATCACCATCGCCATCATTGCGGTGCTGGAAGCTACAGTCTTTGTGCAAGACGACAGCAAGGAGCGGGTTCAGGGTTTAGGCTTTAGGGTTTATAGGTTTGAGGCTTGTCATGGCATCCATCCTGCTCGTCGATTAAGCAATATGTGGAAAGCAAGGAGCCGGGAAATTTCGGTAACCCCCTGCCGCTGGTGGGTGACGACTACTCGGACGAGATGAGGGCCCGAGAACTAAACAACGGGCGCATCGCTATGTTCGCAGCGATAGGTCAGATCGCTGCGGGCCTCTACACAGGCAAGTCTGGCATTGAGCAGTTCGGCGCCTGATCCTGCAAGCCCCTCGGGGCTACAGCAAGCACAAGTCTCGCATGCAGGCTTGCCATCGTGCGATGCCGTATGGTTTAGTCGGTAGATGCTTCAAGATTGTGCGTGGCTGCCCAGACATTTAGGCTGCTTTTCGGATCCTTTTCGGATTCGATGCCGATTTTCGGATGGGGAGTCAGCCAGTCAGCGCTACTTCTGGCGC